GTGCAGCTGCTTCGTCGATCAGGAGGTGGTGACGACGATCGTTGTAGATCAAATTCGGGCGGGACTTGCAGATAGCTCATATCGGATGAGAGCTCCTTCACAACAGACATTTCAGCAACACCCGGTGCAGAAACATCAGGTGGAGGACTTGGAGGATCCAATGAGATTCTGATCGACCCCAGTTGAGAAGCAAAGCACCTCATGCGAGGGCTCCTGGAGCTTTTTGAAGGATCAGTAAAGTTTGTTTTGTACATAACGATGTTACGTGAAGATGACTGCCGATACAACTACGTTGAATTCGCCGTCGTCGTCGACGTGAAATGAGCGCCGCCTTAGCACCGCCCAGTTTGCGAGTGCTTGCCAACGTCGCGGCGCTAAGTCGTATGATCCTCCAGGCTCTCTATGTCACATCGCATCCGTTGCTAATACAAGCAAGATTGATTTCATCTCTTAATGCCACGAATACCTCACGTGTGTAAGTTCATCATAAGGAACCCTAGAGATGCAGTCTGAATCAAAGGCACAGGGTTACTTCAAGAAGATTTTTCATCCAAACAATTTTGCACCATTATATAAAAAAAATCTGTATCAGACGAGCCAGCGAGGAAGCACATAAGTTATAACCAAAAAGGTATTTTGCTCCAGTAATTGCCACAAACGCTGATCCAGCCAGCACTAAAACTGGATGCAACAAAAGTCCAATAATGCTGAAGCCGTGCATAGCGCGAGGTCTCAATGCTTCATATAACAAAGCAAGACTGACTTGAGAAATCCCCACGTTCTGTGAAAGGTAAGCATGCAAAAAATGATTAAGAATTCTTTGTAATCACGTTTGCCAAATTCACGGTAACTGGAGAAAATTGAATGGTTTGCAATGGCGCATACGCTGTTCCTTTGAGCATTGATTTTCTTCAAAGAAATTATCAGATGAATTCCAGAAAAAAATCATATGTATATCGCGTTCCTGTCAACATCTATATATTAGAAAAAGAGCTTTGATAGAAAGGTAGATAGTCAATTCACACGTTGAAATTTCATTGAAAAAAGTAAAATCTGAATTGCGTTTCATAACATGAGAAATTTTGGAGCTCTGCTATCATTGAAAGGAAACAGAGGTCGCAAAATTCTCACTCGCGGGCATTTCCATGCGCAACTTTCAGCTGAAGTAAATAGTTCAATCTATCAAGCCAGGAAATCTCCCCACGCGAGCCTGGGCGTACTTCATAGGCTCGTTCTAAAAAAATACTACTCCCCATCAATGTCACATCCTCTAGGCGACATCGTTAGAGCAATTGACTCACTCACTAAAAGCTCACGCCTTTTAGCTTCGCTTGCATCACTTTGTAACTCGGACCTATTTCGCTGCACAATATAAAAAATACTGAACAGCAAGCAAAATCTTTATGTCGAAGTCAACGGAATGAATTAAGTGCACAAGAAAATAGAACAAGTGAAGTTTTTACGCTTTCTATATGCTTCCCAAAAAAGAAATCGCTTTTTTCATGTTTATTTTTATTAATATATAGAAAGGTCTACGTTAGCTCAAACGAAAACGCCTGGTTCAGCGATATATACTGTTCAACTGTGTAACAGAGTTATTTCCTAAAAGATGCGATGAGTTGTATAGATTTCGCGTACTTAGCAGTGAGATTTGTTTCAGAGCAGCACAAAGCACATGCTTATCCAACAAAAAATGCCTTGAACAATAGGTTTCACAATATTTAAGCAACTGACTTAAAATGAAGTCTATCATGCATGCTTAAAGAATGCAGACTTGGACCAAATGAGTTTACCAACGCTATTTGAGCCAGCATATGACCACTGACCCACCACTGTTTGCGCGTTAACAGCTGCTAAATTTGACTGCATCGGACAATCGCTACAGCATATTTGCCACAAATTTGAGAGGTGCCTATCCCCAGAACTGATGTCAATGTTTTAGCGGACAATTATACACCTAATATCCAATGCACACTTACTCTGCAACATGGTTCAAAAGACTTGTTGGAGGTAGATAGTATAGATAGAACATTTCTAGCAGATGCTCTAATTTCATACAGGGATATGTATAAAGATGTACATAGATCCGATGCCCTTATCCG